CCCCCCCCCCAGTTACTCATTTCCTACCCTGAGGCCCTTGGCGCAGATCTTATCACCCCTCTCACTCTTAAATTGCCACCTGACTGGTGAAAACCACTGCTGCCAACACCCCCTCCCACCATTCTCACACACCCCGAGCCTGCACAGCTGGGGAAAATTCCTGATTAGGATCTTGGGAGAGAAAGAGGCCTGAAGGGGCCAGGGCTGGGTTCCAGTAGCACCTCGGCCATGGGCAGTGAGGCGTGGTGAATATGCTGGGTGACCTTGGGCCAGTCGCTTCCTCCTCCCTCCTTCCCAGACCCCAGGCTTGTGTCAGCTCCAAGCTCAGACCTGAAAGGGAATTTTGCTGCTTCAATAAAACTTGTGTGCTCTCTGCCTCTCTCGAGGTGGGATGGGTTTTAAGCAGGACCCCTGGAAGTGTTTGTCAACAGAAGAAGCTGAAGGAACTGTCAGACATCTGTCCCAAAGCACAGCCCCCTGGGAATGGGGATTCTTGGATTTGGATGGAATTTAATCAACTTGAGAGGCACGCACAGAGGCACTCTTCTTGACAGGGGGACACAGTGCTTGGTCGCACACAGTCCCTGCTTTCCAGGGCAAGACACTCTTCCATAGGCCTGAGACTACTCCACACACCCCAAGCTAAGCCCTGTGATTTGGCCACAGGGCATCTTGGTTCTATCAGTTTCTATGTGACTTTGTGCAAGTTGCCGGACCTGAGTGAGACTCAGCTTCCACAGTAGCAAAATGGAAATGACACTGGCACCAATGCCAGGGCTGCCCTGGCTGAGTGGCTCTCAGGAGGAAGGAGAGCAGGGCCAGCAAAGGAACCGAAAGACCGAGGGGTGAGGAAACTGTAGAAGTGAGACCCCGATGCTGGGGCTGCAGTGGTGAGCCCGGAAGGGCCTGCTGCAACCTCTGAATCTCCTGTCTTCTTGGCCACACAGGAAAAACTCAGCATTCATTGTGCTCCTTTTGTGTACCAGGCACTGGATCCCACAGCCTAGCCTGGCAGACAGAACTGCAAGGAGGTCACGCAGCCAGCCAGCAAGGATGGATGTTGCCTGGGAGAAAAAGAGGGGACGGGAGGTGAGTGGGCAAGGATGGAGGGGACACAGGGAAGGAGCTTAGGCAGGGTGTGGTGAGTGCAAGGGAAGAGGAAGTGGGGCTGTACAGTGTTGGGCGGTGGGGAGACGAGGGAAGAAAAGGGGGAGACAGGCTGAAAGGGGTCCAGTTGTGTCTTCATTCCACTACATTTATTTAATTACTTATTTCTTTGAGGCAGTCTCACTTTGTCTTCCTTGGCAGAGTGCCATGGAGTCATAGCTCACAGCAACCTCAAACTCAAGTGGTACTCTTGCCCCAGCCTCCCAAGTAACTAGGACTCCCCAGGCCTGCCACAACGCCTGGCTAGTTTTAGATATGGGGTCTCATTCTTGCTCAGGCTGGTCTTGAACTCCTGAGCTCAAGAAATCCACCCACCTTGACCTCCCAGAGTGCTAGGATTACAGGAGTGAGCCACTGTGCCCGGTCTTCAGTACATCTATTGAATGCCTGCTGTATACCTGTCATACCCTGT